CTATACATACGTTGTTTTGTGACCCTAGTTGTTCTCCTTATTCTGTGACAGCACGCTCTTCCTTTCCACCTCCAATTTCCTGTGTCCATTCGACCAGCTCCTGACCCTCTCTGCCTTCTCATCTTGCCTCTGGACAGGAGTGCCCATTTAGTCTCATGTATCTACTTGAGCTAAGAAGCACACTCTTCACAAGTATCATTTTATGTCCCCTAGTCCAGTCTAATCTTTGTCTGAAGAGTTGGCCTCAGGAATGGTTTTAGTTCTGGGCTAACAGAGTCTGGGGGCTGTGTCTTCCAAGGTCCCTCCAGTCTCAATCAAACCATTAAGTCTGGTCTTTTTACTAGAATTTGAGTTCTGCACCTTACTTTTCTCCTGCTTCATCAGGGATACGCTGTTGTGTTTCCTGTCAGGGTGATCATTTTGGTAGCCTGGCACCATCTGGTTCTTCTGGTCTCAGGCTGATGAAGTCTCTGGTTTATGTGGCCCTTTCTGTCTCTTGGGCTAATACTTTCCTTGGGTCTGTGGTGTTCTTCATTCTCTCCCTCCCTCCTCATTCTTAATAAATGATACTATCATTTCATTTGCTCAAGCCTCTGAGTCCACCTTAATATTTCTCTTCCTCTTTCTCACGTACTTAATATATCATCCAGTCCTTTTGGTTCTGTCCCCAAAATATTTCCCAAATCTGCCCACTTCTTTTCCTCTTCAGTACTACCATTCTATTCTAAGCCATCATTCTCTTCCCGTTGGACTTTAATGCATCTCCTTGAAAGGCCTTACTCTCTTCTATGCCCTCTGCAATTAATGCTTCTCATAGCAGCCAGATGACTTTTTAAAAAATGCACATATGATCATGTCACTCCCCTCCTTAAACCAAACCAAACCTGTTGCTATCCAGTCGATTCCGACTCATAGTGACCTTATAGGACAGAGTAGATCTGCCCCATAGGGTTTCCAAGGAGCAGCTGGTGGATTCGAACTACCAACCTTTTGGTTATTAGCAGCCGAACTCTTAACCACTGCACCATCAGGGCTCCATAAAACCTTCTAAAAACAAACTACTGAATTTAGAATTAAGATTCTAGATTATTGATTCTCAACTCTAGCTGCACATTACAGTTACCTGGAAGCTTCTCTCCCCCCACAAAAAAAAAAAAAACCTAAATTTACTGACTAAATTGCATTGGTAGGGGTCTAGGTGTCTATAGGGTTTTTTGTTGTTGTTGTTTGTTTTAAGTTCCCTCAAGTGCTTCAGCTGTGCAGCTAAGGTTGAGAAACACTGCCCTAATTCAATGATTTTTCCCTTGCCTACGTCTCTGAGCTTATCTGCCAACTTGCCAAGCTTGTTCTCTCTCAAAGGCAAAGCTTCAAACTGGTTCAGAACAGTTCAGTAATTGCCAGCATAAATGTGGGCAGCGTATGCATTGCATAGCAACCAAATCTGTTGCCTGTTGGATTTTGACCCAGTAGGAAACAGCTGTACCCTGCTCAAAGATGTCGGCCAACTGCACTGCTTTGAATGTGTGTCGCTCTCCGCAGTCCTGCCAGTAATCCAGTCTCCCGCATCAGGCTGCTGAAACTGTCAGGATCCATGTGGGAGATTGGATTTTTGGCTGGATTTTTGGCAGGATTGTGAAGAGCAACATACATTCAAAGTGGCTGGCCGCCATCTTTGAGGAGAGCACCAAACAACAAACTGCTCTTTGTTTCCTACTCAGGTCAGAATCCAGCCAGCAACAGAATTGATTGCTATGCAGCACATATGCTTCCTTTGTTTACATTGGCAATTATTGTACTGTTCCAGACCAGGTGGAAGCCCTGCTCAGAGGTTTCACCCCAAGTTAATTAATTTTTTTTGACTTTTTTAATAAACTTTTAATTTAAGAATAGTTTTAGATTTATAGAAAACTTGCAAAGATAGTATGGAGAATTCCCATATGCCCTGTATTCAGTGTCCCCTATTAGCCTTCTTACTAACATCTTGCATTATTAGTATGGTACATTTGTCACAATTAATAAACCAATATTGATACATTATTATTAAGTAAAGTTTGTCCATTATTCTGATTTCCTTAGTTTTTCAGGATCTCACCGAGGATATCACATGACATTTAGTACTCATGTCTTTCTAGACTCCTCTTGACTATTTCTCAGAAAAACAAAGTTTTTGATGATCTTGGCAATTTTAGAGAGTACTGGTCAAGTATTTGATAGAATGTCCCTCAGCTGGGATTTATCTGATGTTTTTCTTATGATTAGACTGGGGTTATGGGTTTTTGGAAATAAGACTACAGAGGTAAATGTTACTCCTTTTCCATACTGTCCTCTTTGGAAGGAAGTCATAGTGCAGCCCGTACTCGTGGAGTGGGGAGTTATGCTCCACCTCCTTGATGATGAAGCATCTACAAAAGTTATTTGAAGTACTTCTACACAAGAGATTTGTCTATTCTCCCCCATTTATTTGTTCAGTCATGTGTTCATTTATATGAGTATATGGACTCATGGATATTTATTTTGTACATAGGGTTATAATCTATTACTGCTTTTTTTTTTTAATTGTACTTTAGATGCAGGTTTACAGAGCAAACTAGTTTCTCATTAAACAGTTAATACACATATTGTTTTGTGACATTGGTTGCCAACCCCACAACATGTCAACACTCTCCTCTTCTCGACCCGGGGTTCCCCATTACCAGCTTTCCTGTCTCCGCCTGCCTTCTCGTCCTTGCCCCTGGGCTGATGTGCCCATTTAGTCTCCTCTTGTTTTATGGGCCTATCTAATCTTTGGCTGAAGGATGAACCTCAGAGTGACTTCATTACTGAGCTATAAGGGTGTCCAGGGGCCATACTCTCGCGGTTTCTCCAGTCTCTTTCAGACCAGTAAATTTGGTCTTTGTGTGTGTGTGTGTGTGTGTGTGTGTGTGTGTGTGTGTGTGAGTTTGAATTTGAATTTGAATTTCATTCTGCATTTTTCTCCAGCTCTGTCTGGGACCCTCTGTTGTGAGCCCTGTCAGAGCAGAGGGTGGTGATAGCCAGGCATCATCTAGTTGTGCTGGACCCAGTCTAGTGGAGGCTGTGGTAGTTGTGGTCCATTAGTCCTTTGAAGTAATCTTTCTCTTTGTGTCTTTGGTTCTCTTCTTTCTCCTTTGCTCCAGACAGGGTGAGACCAGTGTAGTATCTTAGATGGCTGTTCACAAGCTTTTAAGACCTCAGACACTACTCACCAAAATATAATGTAGAACATTTTCTTTATAAACTATGTTATGCCAATTGAGCTAAATGTTCCCCGAGACTAAGGCTGTCTAGCCCAAATTAAGTCCCTTGTGTTATACGTAAAGGAAACAAAATTCTAGGGTTACATGTCTGGTTCATGGTCACAAGGTGCAGAATCTAGGCACAAACCTCAGCCTTCTGACTCACCAATGCAATGCCACTACATTCTTGTTGACTCCTGTTGCTGGTTATTGAGACGACTTTCTTGAGGGTAGAGACTGTATCTTATTAATCTTTATATCCCTTGGACATAGTGAGTAATGCATAGAATTAGTATGCAGTAGGCATTTGTTGAGTGAAAGGAAGGAGGGGTCAGATGGGTGAATTTGGCTTTTGCATTGGACCTTAAAGGAAGACTGAGATTTAGCTATGTAGAGATTCTGGGAGTTAGAGGTACACATGAGCAGTTATATTTGTTGAGTATTGGGCACCTGAAGGGAAATTGTGAGAAAAAAATGTTAGATAGTTTGGGACCACATTATGGGAACACTTGAATGCTAGGCTAAGGATTTTGGAATTTCTTATCCAGTCAGCTGAAAAGCCTTGAGCAGAGGAGTAACACACACAAAATAAAGTAAATGGGAAGAAGGGTCAGAAGGAGGGAGAGAAATTAAATTATTTTGGCAATTCAGTTGAAGAGTTTTGAAAGCTCGAATAAAGGTATGATTGGGGAAATGGAAATGCAGTTACCGATCTAAGATAGAAAATGAATTGGAACTTGATTGCCAATGAAATGGGGAGTTCAGGGGATAGACTGCTCAAAGATGAGGCTGAGGTTTCAAATGTCTTCAAATGCCATCTTTGCCTGGATATTTTGGAGAATGATGGTGTTGTTAACTAGATGCACCGATTTTAAATGATGAATTTGAGGTACTGGTGGCACTAGTCAGAATCGACTCGACGGCAGTGGGTTTGGGTTTTCTTGGATCAGTTGCACATCTAAAATGTTGAATGGGCTACTGTAAACATGTTGCTAAACTTCTGAAGAGATATAGGCTGCACGGATTAAATTAGGAGTCTTTGCAGAAAGGGAGGTTGAAGCCTGAGGATTAAATGTGATTGCCAGGGAGGAGAGAGACAAAACCAGACCCACACCCTAGGGAAATTCCTAATTTAGAGGGATGGAAGAAGAGCCAAAGAAGCAGCTTTGGTCAATGACAAAGTGAAACTGAGAACAGCCCAAGGAGAAGGAAGCGGGGGAAGTACTTAGGGAACTATCTGCATTGCAAGCTCTTTTTAATAAAAAGTTTTACACAGTTCATGTTATAAGCTGTTATATACCAATAGGAAAAATGACATTAGTTAATGAAAGACATTACCTTTTATAGGAACTCTGTATTACATCATTATGTATTACAAACAGAATAGTTTTTTAGCATTAAAGAATATTTTGCTGGGCTTAGAAGTTGAAGCATGCTAAAGAAATCTTTAATTTTTTTAACTTGAATTTGAGAGAATATTGATTTTAATCAGTAGTTGTCTTAATTGAAAGCCATGAAGTTTTGAAAGAAAAGGGATTTTCACTTTTTTATTATATGTGAATTATATCTGTACAACTGGCTAGGTAAATTCTGAGTCAGTGAAGTTTTACCATATTTTAACATCTACGTTCAACACTTAACTATTTTCCTACCAGCATTCATAAGTATTCTGTTAGGGTGAAAATGCCCACAAATGTACTTTTGGTTTTTCCCTAAGTAATTTTTTGTTTTTATTCTTCTTCTCAGGATCTGACTGGCATAGAATCTATGGATCAGTGTCGCCATACCTTGGAACAGCATAACTGGAACATAGAGGTATATGATAGAATTCATCCTGAGCTTATTTCTTTTTCCCTCATCTGGTGAAGAAACAAAGACATAAATTCTTTTATAGCAGGAATCTTTTTCTTCAGTAGATTTTTTTCCCCAAAAAATTACAACTCTTTCATTTTTATAAAATAAAGGTGTGGGAAAGGTGGAGAATGTGATCAAAGGTTATAAAATTATAGAAAAGATTAAGGCGACCAAATCCCTCCAGATAGCTGCTTTTCCCTGCCCCTTTATTGTTTCTTAATAACTCTTTGGAAAAACTGTGGGGTTTTGTATATTTAGTTTGAAAGCAGATACCTTAATGTGAACCTCCTTGTACATATTTTATAGTCTGTTCTATTGGACTTTTAGGTAGTCGTGTCTTCAAATCATGATGATTTTTTTTTTCAGTGTACTTAACTTTTGTTTATTTTACTTGACCATTGAATTGGCTAGAACTTCACAACAGTGTTTGATACTAATAGTAAACATATTATCCTCACTTGAATGCCTCTGGTATTTTATTATCAAGTTGGCTGTTGCTTTGATATAGATCCACTAGAATGTAAGCTCCATGAGAGCAGAGACTTTTTTCTGGTTTTATTAACTGCTATCTTCCCAGCATCTAGAGCTCTCAGTAAATATCTGTTAACTGTTCTTCTGTTTTTGGTTTACTAATAGTTTATATGAAGAGTCCCCGGGTGGCAGAAAGTTAAGCGCCCGACTACTAGCCAAAAGGTTGGTGGTTCAAACCCACCCAGAAGTGCGTCAGAAGACAGGCCTGGCAATCTGCCTCCAAAAGATCACAGCCTTGAAAACCTTATGGAACATTTCTACTCTGTACACACAGGGTCATCATGAGTCGGAATTGACTTGATGGCAACTAACATAACAATAGTTTATATGAAGAATAGATGTTGAGTTTTATCAAATCCCCTTTTGACCTCTGTTTTTATACATTTACCTATATTAGTGAGTTTCCTAATATTGACTCTCCTGGATTCTGAAAATAAACTTTTTACTTAATTATGGAATGCTATTTGAATGTCATTGTTCATTGCCATTGATCCAGTTCTTACTCATGGCAACCTCATGTATACAGAGTAGAAATTTTCCATAGGGTTTTCAAAAGCAGATTGCCAGGACTGTCTTCTAAGGTGCCTCTGGGTGGGTTCAAACCACCAATCTTTCAGCTAGTAGTCAAGAGCTTAACTGTTTGTGCCACCCAGGGACTCCTGGATTTCTGAAATTATATTCACAAATGATTTTTTTTTTTAGTTATTCAGATATTTTTGAGCAGTTAATTCTAGGCTCTGGCATTACACCAGTGAACAAGACCAAGTCCCTTCTCTGGTGAAACTTAATTCTAATTTAGGAAAGGCAAAACAAATAAGCAAACAAATAAACAGGTAATTTCAGTTTGTAATAAATGCTATGAAAAAGATGAATGTGGAAAATGTAACAGAGAGGGCCAGAGCAGCTGTTTCAAATAGGATGGTCAGGTAAGGTGCAGTGCAGTGCAGTGAATTACTTAATATGGCCCTTTTAGCCATGCATGGTCTTTGTGACTCCCATAAAATGATTGGGTGGGACTATGCAAATAAGGTGCTTATGGGCTACCAAGGGGATTGGACAGCCTGCTAATAATGCATACAAGGTACATGGAACCCTTGTGAGGGTAGGACCGTGCAAATAAGGTATTTGGAACCCTAACAAGGGAATTGGTAAATTTTGCCATCCCTCTAAGCTTAAAAAGAGAGCCAATCCCAGAGCAGAGAAGGGACCTCTCTATCACCAAGAAAGAGCCAGAAGTGGAGCACATTCTTTGCACCCAGAGTCCCTGCGCTGAGAACCTCCTAGACCCAGGAGACAAAGAAAGAGCTGTAACACTGGAGATGGCATGAGACAGCGAGAAGCGGTGTCAGAGAAACAGAGGTCAGGGATGGAGAGAAACAGAGAGAGAAGGGGCTGGCTGGTCAGAAGTACAGGGAGGTGTATGGACTCCTGAGCCTGTAGCTGGTACCCATTGACCTAGCCCATGAGGGGTAGGTGTGAGCTGACCACACCCGACTGAATGAAGAGAGAGAGAGAGAGATTTGACTCTGTGAGCTGGTGTAGATTGCTGCAATTTGATGGCTTGCTCTGGAGTGGACTTTGTTTATGAATGCAGATGCTCAAAGTTCTAACCAGAACAGAAGATTCTTCAGATCTTCTGGTTTGATAGGAATAGCAAGTTAGAAGTTGGCTATCTAAAATGGGGGGAAATAAAGGCATGAAGTGGCTGGCTTACACGCTTTCATGGGTGCGCTTACACTCAAAATGAGAGGGACAACTAAGGGAGGATCCCCACTGAATAGATTTCTATTTCCCTGATGGGTCTGGGGAAGAGAGGGTAGGGGAACAGCTGATAGGATTATGTGATTCAGTTGTGAATATTGATTGTTAACAGGGTTAGTTGTGATTATAAAAACTAGTTGTAGAAGCCATAACTGTGAAAAAGTTGACTAATGAGGAGGTACTGCTGGACTGGATGGAGTACAGTGGCTGAACCTAAAGTCCCTTAAAGGTTTTGGTATGGTGCTGATACTTTGTGAGGCTCACAGCAAGGGAATAATCTCTCAGATTTTATCAGAGACCGGGAAGGACGAAGACGAGATGACTTTTGGAGATCAGACCTGAATGACTGGACCTGAGTAACCTCAGCCTGAAGACTTTTTGCCCTACTGAAGGACTAATTGTTAATGAGTGTTTTGGACTATTAAAATGATTGGGAAGGGGAAGTTATCCTCCAAATATGAAAGAACCATGGCTAAAAGAACCAGAGGTGGCCTGCAGTGCAGTGAATTACTTAATATGGCCCTTTTAGCCAGGCATGGTCTTTGTGACTCCCAAAAAAGTGAGGGTGGGGCTATGTAAATAAGGTGCTTATGTTCCACCAAGGAGATTGATGCACAATATGCAAATAAGGTACATGGGACCCTTGTGGGGTGGGGCCATGCAAATAAGGTGTATGGAACCCTAATGAGGGGATTAGTAAATTTTGCCGTCCTGCTATGCTTAAAAAGAGAGCTGTAACACCAGATAGATGGCACAAGATGGTGAGAAGCAGCAGCAGAGAAGTGACTACAGCAGAACCAAGAGATCAGCGCGAGACGGTACTGTGGGCTTCTCGGCCCACGGAACGAGGTGGCTGTGGTGGGCATGCCAACCCACGGAGTGAGAGAGAATACCTATTCTGGGGGGCCAAGAGAGGAGGCCTGTCCTCAGGGAACCAAAAGGAGCCTCTCCTAAGGGGGAAGAGGGGTGCTCTATAAGGCCAAGCGGAGCTGGTAGAGCTGTCCTGCACTAAAGAAGGTAGATTTTGCCTTTGCTTCCTGATCCTGATCCTGAGTTGTAGCCTGTTGAACCTGATCCCAAGTTTTAACCTGTTACTTCCCTAATAGGCCCTCTAACCATGAGTATAGTCCGTGAGTTCTTTGTGGTCCTTACAACAAACTAACAAACCCAGCAAAGAAGCACAGGCATACCTCATTTCATTGTGCTTCACAGATAACACATATTATACAAATTGAAAATTTGTGGCAACCCTGCGTCGAGCAAGTCTGTCGGTGCCACTTTTCTGACAACGTGCTCACTTCGTGTCTCTGTGTAACATTTTGGTAATTCTTGCAGTATTTCAGACTTTTTCATTATTATTATACCTGTTATGGTGCTCTGTGATCAGTGATCTTTGATGTTACTATTGTAATTGTTCTGGGGGCACCACCAACTGTACCCATATAAGACAGTGAACTTAATAAATGTTGTGTGTGTTCTGACTGCTCCACCGATCTGCCATTCCCGTCTCTCTCCCTCTCTTCATGCCTCCCTATTCCCTGAGACATGACAATATTGAAATTAGGCCAGTTAATAACCCTGCAATGGCCTCTAAGTGTTCAAGTGAAAGGGAGAGTCACATGTCTTTCACTTTAAATCAAAAGCTAGAAATGATTAAGCTTAGTGAGGAAAGCATGTTGAAAGTTGAGATGCGCCGAAAGCTGAGATAGGCTGAAAGCTAGGCCTCTTGCACTAAACCGTTAGCCAAGTTGTGAACGCAAAGGAAAAGTTCTTGAAGGAAATTTAAAGTGCTACATCAGTGAACACACGAATGTTAAGAAAGCAAAACAGCCTTGTTGCTGATATGGAGAAAGTTTTAGTGGTCTGGATAGATCAAACCAGCCACAATATTCCCTTAAGCCAAAGCCTAATCCAGAGTAATGCCCTAACTCTCCTCAATTCTATGAAGGCTGAGAGAGGTGAGGAGGCTGCAGGAAAAAAGTTTGAAACTAGCAGAGGTTGGTTCATGAGGTTTAAGGAAAGAAGCCATCACCGTAACATAAAAATGCAAGGTGAAGATTCAGCAAGTTATCCAGAAGATCTAGCTAAGATAATTGGTGAAGGCGGCTACACTAAACAACAGATTTTCAGTGTAGACGAAACAGCCTTATATTGGAAGAAGATGCCATCTGGGATTTTCTTAGCTGGAGAGAAGTCGGTGCCTGGCTTCAAAGGTTCGAAGGACGGGCTGACTCTCTTGAGGGGCTAATGCAGCTGGTGATTTTAAGTTAAAGCCAGTGCCCATTTACCATTCCAGAAATCCTAGGGCCCTTAAGCATTATGCTAAATCTACTCTACCTGTGCTCTATAAATGGAACAACAAAGCCTGGATGACAACACTTCTGTTTACAACATGGTTTATTGACTATTTTAAGCCCACTGTTGAGGTCTACTCCTCAGAAAAAAGATTCCTTTCAAAACATTACTGCTCATTGACGATGCATCTGGTCACCCACGAGCTCTGATGAAGATATACAAGGAGATTAATGTTTTCATGCCTGCTGTTACAACATCCATTCTGCAGCCCATAGATCAAGGGGTAATTTCAACTTTCAAGTCTTATTATTTAAGGAATATCTTCCATACGGCTATAGCTGCCGTAGATAGTGATTCGTCTGATGCAGAGTAAA